AAAAAAAAAATCATAAATAAAGCCAGAAGCCTTTTCAGTTTTAATATGGCAACCCAAAACTTGGCAGAAGTTATGGCTAGTCTATATATGTAGATACATACGATTTTGTATGAGATGTTGAAGAAACCTTTTAATTTTCATTCTCATTTGCTTCAAATTTAAACTGACAAATACTTATCTCTGTTTGAGTTTAGACCATCTAATATAGAAAATAGAAATGTATAGCTAAGAACCGTAACGTAAATTGACGATATTGTCAAGCTAACTTTGAATAAGTAAAAAAATAAAATAAATAAATAAATAAATTCGTCGTAGAGCGTTACTGACTGCGGAATACTTATCCATTCGCGGAGTGGCCACGCCCCTGATTGATATACACATATATGCATTTTTCGCAAATCAATAAGCAATATAGTTTCTAGAACTAAAACTTTGCCCCTACGAGCATAGATATTATTGCCATATCTTTAGAACTAGTGTTGTCAACGCGAGTATAATTCCAAATTTCAACTTTCTAAAGTATAATCACTTTCTACTTTGCCACGCCTAGAAAGTGGATCTGGAAAATCGAGCGTAAGTTCAAAATTTCAAGTCTCCAGCTGCAATAGCGTTGAAATGGCTGGCGTTCTCACGGATAAATAGACACAGGGACAGACAACAATACAGATAATGGACAAAACCAATATACTCATTTTACTTTCGTCAGTGAGTATAAAAATGGCATTGAAATAACGAAACATTTTTTAATAAATTCATATTTTGACACATTAATTATTATTTGCCTCGGAACTAATATTTCAGCCAGCAAAAGTCTGACCCAAAGTTGAAATAAAATGAAGAAGAAACAAGAAAAAATTGCTCAAATGTTCGGCTAGGAGATAGCTCGAGCCCAATTTTAAAGTATCTTAGATTTTGGGAGGGACAACCATGATGAGGTAAGTATTTGTAGGTCCATGTCGTTTGTATATACTATATATATACATACATATGCATCCAGTTAAATTATATATGTGTATATATAGTAATTAGTATTGAATATGTAGGTGTTGTCCTCGCTGTTCATACGATTACCAAGTATTTAGCATAACTACGGTGAGAAACATTTGTCAAAAACTAAAAATAACTTAGCTCAATCAACTTAATTGCAACTGCAACAACTCCAACGCCAACAATAAAAGTGCAAAACTTTGCCAAATTAAATTGCATCTGATAATTTTTTTTGTTTTTGTTTTGTTTTGTTTTGGTTTTTGCTTTTGGAAAGACACACACATACATACATGGGAATAGTTTGGTTACATAATACACATAGGCCAGATATGCATTTCTAGGCATATCTGAAATAATACTAGCAATGATCTATATACACAAAGTCGAAATTCTTAGCTATATTTATTTATTTATTATTATTTTTTTTTTTCTATTTGCAATAATCAAAGTTGTAGGCATATTAGACTCAATTCATTGGAAGTACTCAACTTTCGACTCCTCTCACGTACGTACGGAACAAAAGGAAAAAGAAACATATTTAAGTGGAAATGCGCAGTTTGAGGCTAATGAACTCTCACACGTTACTACGTTTGTATATACTAGTTATGTATGTATGTATTATARCCAAGCTACCATGACTCCGACTAGCCGAAATTCACTGCTACGAATACCATTTACTGCCCTATAGTACATACATACAATAGCGACTTATACAGCGGACATTTACCAGCTTTCAATTGGGTCAACTACAAGCTCACTTGAGCAGAATCAATTGGAAAATTTCAGTAATAATAGGGAATATGTAGTTATTTTGTTATACTCATTCACGATGCTGAGATGAGTATATTGGTTTTGTGCAATGTCCGTATGAATGCAAATCATTGGCGGAAAACGGAAAATGGATCTGGCAGCGTTTCGTTCGTGAATGAGTATTCTGCAATCGGTAACGCCCGACTGAATTGCTCTTACATGTTCTTTGTAATAAAGATCTAACAAAAATGGTTTAGATAATTTAGATAACTTAATCATTGTAAAAAATAAAGTTTGATTCATCAAAATAATTATATGGCATATGCTAAGAACTGTTGAAAAATAAAAAAATAAAAAAAATTATTTAATTAAGCCAGACTTGACAGATAGCATCGACTTCACAAGAAGTTTTGATCAGAAAGTTGAAAATCAAATCATCGTAAGGGAAGACGATTACTTTCAAATATTGTGACTACTTCTTTAAAAAAATTGTTGCACAGGTTACGCCAGGAAATCACACCCACAAACATAGTGTAATCCTTATTGGGGAAACAGCTTTTGGTCTGTCAACTTTAGCGATAGGATTTTGTATACTTAATCAGTTGAGTTTGTGAGTTATTCCAAATTTGAAGTTGTTGAACAGAGAGATTTGGACTTTGGGACTCGGGTACATTCTGAGAGCTGGTAAATGTCCTATGTATGTTTGTTTTTATCTACTTTTCTTCTCTTCCTCTTTTTCTTTTTAGAATACAAAATTATGTAATACTAGAAACGAAAAGATAAGCTGGATGTGAATTCTAGTTATGTATGTACATTATGTATATATCTTAATATATATATGTAGTTGCATGATGACAGTTCTACTATGGCTACACTGGCCTACACAACCAAGACTCTTGCACCGAGAGATAAGTCTACTTACGCACTGGTATAAAGCTTTGATTGTCGCAGTGATAAATACTTAGTTTCGACTATAAGAGACTGAAATGTACAGTAATTTGAGATCCCTTAGAGGCTCGTACTCTCTTTCTTCTCAGCTTGAGTGGCGCGGCGTCTCGTGATTGTCGAGAACCTAACCATGTTGGTTTTTGCTAAGGATCTAAGTTATGTATGTTGTTAAGAATAAACTTGCCTAGGTTAATTGATGCTATATAGTATGCTAGAACAAACGATTCCTAGTTTCCCATTAATAGTTTTAGAAATATATAGTATGTATATAGTAAAATACTACAGTGGGGTTGGCCAGCCAACTGCATCACGACGAGAACAGAACTCTATTAAATATTATTATATGTTTATTTATTAACGCTAAGGTAGCTTGTATGTTAAATGTGGGACTAT